AGTTACAGGTTTTTTTTTACGTCATCTGGCAGCGGTATATTTTCCCGGGTGGTTGCTGCTCCCAAACCTACTACCTATAAAAAAAAAAATTTTAAATAAGTATAAAATATAAAAATATATAAGTAATAAATAATAAATTGTGTAACCAAAAACCCAAAATCATGGATTAATTATTTCCAAAAAATAGAATACAAAAATTATAATGTAAAAGACAAAGATATTTATTATTTGACACTTGATTCAGGCACAGTAAATGCATATATACAAAAGAAAGTGTGTAAGCATGCATTGGTAGATTAACATTAAATAGAAGAGGTAAAATGAACTCAAATTCAGTTGTAATAAACAACTGTCAGTGAATAAACAGAAGGATGGACAAGAGGCTCAAACCTGGTTTGTGACAGACTATCAATCTATGAACCAGGTTAACATTGGACTATCAATCTACGAACCGGGTTAGCATCGGACCATCAATCTATGAACCAGGTTAACGTCGGACTGTCAATCTACGAACAGGGTTAGCATCAGACTATCAGTCTACAAATCACAGTACAAGCCCCTCATCCACCTTTCTGTTTATTCAAGAGAAAATATTGCGAAAAAAGTGTAAGTGAAGGAGGGGAATTTAAATCAGCAATTCACCTGTTTAAAGGATATTACTTTAATGTATGCAAGGGGCCCTCCACATTCACGAGCATTAGGGAATCAAGAACCTCACAAATAGTGAAAATTCATGAATGTTTGGTGCCACATATGATGTAGGGAAATACAGTAGATCATCATTTAACACGTTAATTACGTTCCTGAAAATGCCATTTTAGTTAAAACTGTGTTAGACAAACTGAAGAACTTGTGGGAAAAATAGGGTTGCATTCCTGGTAGCCCCCAAAAAGCCAAACAACTTTTTTTTTTTAGACCAACTGATCTTACAAAAATAAAAATGAATATGTTATTGTAGTTCATTGTCGTGATGTATTGTGATGTTTTTGCTGCTTAAGATTACAAATGCAAAAGAAATACGTAATAGTATTTCTTTCCTTAAATTGTGGGTGCTGGTGTTTATGGATGATTGTGGAGAGTTACGCTGTGGCCTTACTGGGCTGAGGTGGATGGTAGAGGTTCTGGTACTGAAGTTGATGGTTGTACTGGAGTTTACGTAAATTCTGTAATGGATTTCTGTTCTGTTTTACCCCGCAGTATGTTATACAATTGACAGTAAGGCATCAGCTGCGCTAGAGACTGTTTCAGGGTTCTCTTCAGTGAAAAAATCTAGCTTTAAGTCAGTCAGTAAATCAGTCAAGTCAGTCATCACACAAACTCATATTTACCCCATTCTTTAATTCTAAGACCTAAATGCTTATACCTTTTCTTGCCACTTTCAGCAACACCTGTATGCCTACTAGGCGCCATGATTGCTTGGCAGATTTAAGATATGGTAATTAAAAGATCTAAACTCCTAGCAGAGGATGGTATGTACTACACGCATATGAAACAAAGACTGGGAGAAAGGTGACGGGATGGCAGTAGGTCTCCTCCATCGACTCTATGGTCTAACCCACAGCCAAGCAGAGTGTATTCCGCGGGTGACGCGTGCTCAAAATTTTTTCCCCTCGCAAACTGAAGTGTATTAAGTTAATTTTACAAAGTGTTGTACAAAAATATGCCACAATTCTTCAGTAGTGCTATAACCAAAACCTGCCAAACAAAAACATGTTAAATGACAATCTGCTGTATAATAATACAGTGGACCCCCGGTTTACGATATTATTTCATTCCAGAAGTATGTTCAGGTGCCAGTACTGACCGAATTTGTTCCCATAAGGAATATTGTGAATTAGATTAGTCCATTTCAGACCCCCAAACATACACATATAAACGCACTTACATAAATACACTTACATAATTGGTCGCACTGGGAGCTGATCGTAAACCGGGGGTCCACTGTACTGTACTGTAGCATTCGCGAATGTTTTGATGTGCAAATATATTGTAGGAAAATATAATAATAGCCTAACAGTACTGCTTCCTTAACCTATTGAACCATGAAAAATCATAAAACACATGAAAACCTCGTAAAATGTTGTATACGTATACATGTAATGGTTTAATAACAAATAATGAACAAACAAAGCACTCACCACTCATAAGGTTAGGCAGACAAACGCTGATGACTTGTGATGATGATGACAATGACAATGATGATGGTGATGATATTTAGCCATACAGTTACTGATGACAGTTGAATGGAGGTGATTATATGGGTGAAACTGCATGGCATGAGGGTTTAAATTGTGGTTCTAATCTTCATGCCGTGTCACTGCCGACATTGCCGAGTCAGATTCTCCCCGGGTTGAGGTTCAGGGAGGCATTAGGGGCAGGGCAGGTAGTGGCAGGTTCCCTTGGGAAGAACTTTGGAGGGGGCAACTGGCTTTTTCCCTTTATATATACAAACAGTTTTGAGGGAATTTGCCCCTATAAATGTCACTCATCCCCTTAAAAAGCCCAAAAACATTGAGGGTCTATACTTAAAAAATTTTGAGCTGTGCTGTCTTTTCTATTCCCCTATTTTTTCAAGGGTGAGGGCTTGGGGTTTGATTGGCCCTCAGCAACACTTTCGTTTACATTAAATAATTTTCAATGGCAAAAGTTTTCAAATAACTGCCTAACTTGTCTAACAATTTTCCCTTTTCCCCTCCGATTCATGATTTTTTTGAGTGCTAGGGGTTGGTCATCAATAGTAGATGCTGCTGTTGGGGACCATACTTGTCCCACCACAAAACCTGATACGGTAGGACTGAACAGTAATGGACACACCCAACGCAAAAGAATGGACAATGAGGATGGCGGTGGTGGGTTTAGGAGGTAAGAGGGGGGGTAATAGGGAGCTTTGGGAAGTGTTTTCCTACTTTTTTTCCCCCCTTTGGTTTTGGGAAAAAAAGTTGGGGTGGGGCATTCGAGAATGTTCAAAGCTCACAAAAGTGGGGGGCTAGCTGTATAAGACATAAAAAATATAAAAAAATTCCTTATGTAATAGCCATCACCACCAAAACAGGTGACCAAAGAAAGCCATTCGCTTCAACATTCTACAAAATTTTATTTTTTTGGTATGGAGTTTTTTTGTATTTAATTCTAGTTAAGGGAAATAATATGAACAAGGGGAAACATGATAATAACTGATTGCAAAAAATCACAATGGGGGGGTTTGACCCAAGGGTAAAGGGGTTTTGGGCCGTTTACCTTTTAGTTCAAAAACCCACCTGTTTGTAAAAACAGGTGGGGGTTTGAAAAACAGGTTTTCTCTAATGTTACTTATCTAACTTCTTGTCCCTTTCGATTGCATTCATTCATCTCTCTCGCCCCCCATTTTTCTTTTCACTTTTTTGTGCCCACTTTTCAGTTTTTACTAACTCCCCTTTTTCACCACACACCTTGCTCTTTTTCTTGCTAGCTCTATCATTTGCTCTCTTGCCAACCACCTATTTCACTAATAGAACTTCAAAACAAACCAACATGGAGGATTTTGCTACTCATGTCAGAAAGTTTGGACATTTAGAAAGCCACACTTCAGTTGTTTAATTTTCACTAGGGAAAAATTAACACGTTTATTAGAATATTCTCATAATGTACTTGAAAAATCTAGTTTTGTAATATTTTTATTATGTATTTCATAGCTCAGCAAGAAATAGCAAGTTTAGAAGAGAAAGTTGCTGGTTTGCAACGGGACCTCTCGACCTACGAGAGCCAGTTAGAACAGTTGCGACGTGATGGCTCCAGCAAAGCAGAAGCAGGACGGGTTAGTGAAGGGGCACTACACAGTAAAATTGTACAACTCAAAGAGGAGTTACACGCCAACAGGTAAGGGGGTGCTGCGCTAGGGCTCATATAATATCTGGATGCTAAAACTATGTTACTGAGAATGATCAGCACCTTTCATTTATTTATTAAATGCTCAAGAAATTGAAACCTATCAGATTAATTTTAGAAAGATACTGAATACAGTAGAAGTTTAATCTAATGAGTATGCAGTGCTTGGAGGTGCCTTGAATCCTGAAACTATGGTTAACAGAACATTTTTGCATGTGCTAGTTACTGTACTTAAATATTTTTAGCCCTATTTCTTAAATATTCCTCTAATCTTCTTAGCACTGACATTGACAGAAAAGAATGAGCCAATTTTCAATGCAAACCTGTGGCTAATTTTCAATTTAGGGGTGTGTGCACAAAAAATAAAAAAGGCACCAAGAAAAATTTAATAATCGAAGGTATTCCCTGAATGGCCTCCAGTAAATAACATTGTTTAATGAAATCTTGTTGATTATGAAGCATGTTAATGCCAGGGCTTGACTGTTACTAACGATGCTCTGGTATAATGTAAAAAGAAAATAAGGAATGCATTTGCCTGGGTGAGAGAGAGAGAGAGAGTTGAACATTTTATCATGAAGTTTGTTTAATTTTTAACACTCCAGCTGTCTCCCAAGGAAGGGGTGACCCAACAAAGAAGAAAATACTTTCACTGCATCACATTAATCACTGTCTGCCATGAAGGGCATTGACATCATAGTTCAGATGACCCTCCTAACTGTTACATCCCTTGTAGAATGCAGGGCACTTTACTCATCACCTCTAGGACTGAAGTAGAGCTAACCAGTTTCCCTGAATCCCTTCATAAATGTTACCCTGCTTACACTCCAGCAGCACATCAAATCATAAAAACTCTAGCATTCTCAAAAAAGTCTTAACAGCTCAGGCAAAATGTTAGCAGGTAATTTTTGCAGATGAAATTTATCAAGTTTTGTAAATTAATTATATGTACAGAAGCTAGTTCATTCTATATATCTAAGGAATGTAGATTAGGATATTTTCTAATGCTAATTGAACTTTACTGCATTTATTCTAAAAAATATTGTTTTGTAGCATAAACGTATAGAAACAAATTTATTTAATAATGAACATTGTGTATTTGGGTGAATTCCAATGTATTCCAATGAACCTACCATATTTAGAAACAATTCTAGTATACAATATATTGTGAATAAAAGGATGAAATATGTAATCAGTATTAGAATATTGTTCACTGAAAATCATGTTTGTAAGAGCTGTCACACTTGCACTCAGTTTAGGCCTCCTTTCACTTTTGTTTTCATACCATTACTTGTGACCAGAGCCCACTAGCAACCCTTGTAGAGCAAACCATATTTGCTTGTGTCAACACCTATCCTTTCTTTCTGCTCCTTGTCTGCTCAGCCCCTGGACATTTCCACAATTGTTGTCACATTTTGTGAGATATCCTTTAGCTCTTCCAGATTTTCTGACAGTGATGGCTGTTTCTTCTTGGTTCATCAGTTAGGGGACTTCAGGAGGCCCTTTCTGAGTGTGCTCCGATAGACCAGTTTGTTTTGTCTGAGGATGAATCCTAAGAGTGCTTTACTTGGAGAGGCTTCTCTCTAGTTCTCCATGGATCATCTAGGGTTCCCATCTTAGTGTTGGGGAGTGAAACAACTTACAAATCTATAATAGCTGTCAGGCTTTACAAAGAGGGCACACTTCCCATCTTTCACTCCTAAGTGACTGTTGCACCATTCAACATCCTTCAAGGATGAGATAAATTTCACAGAACTGGTGGGACCTCGGCTGTCCCCAGTCAGAGTCCCAAGCCCTCTCAAGTGATATCACCCAACAAGTGAAAGGTTTCAGCCAAATTACCAGAAAAGTTGTTGATCATGCATCCTCTCATTAATACATTTTGGGGTGTTGCTGCAAGGTTGTATACATCCCAAGTGAGCTCTTATAACGTGTTGAGAATTAGGGACACTCACGGCATCCTGAGAAGACCTCTGGGCCCTACACCTCTCATCTATCACCTGAGCTTCAGAAATCAAAAAAAATATATGCCTGAAGTACTAAAAATATATGCCCAAGATTTTTTTCATTTTGTGTTCAATAACCTTCTACTGTACAGTATTAGAGAAAACTTCTACTGTAGATGTATCTCATTTTGCTTTATTAAAGGACCTAATTTAATAATACAAAATGTTATAAATCTTTTTTTAATTAAGCAAGATTTGATAATTCATCTGTTACCATATATTTGATACTATGAAATGCTATTAAGCTGCATGATAATTACTATTGTCTAAAAATAATTTCTGGAGCAGCAAAAGCTTTTAATATTATAAATGATCATTTGCCTGTGTGTTGGCCTGCATTTCTTTTGTCATTTTTTAAAGCAAAGTTTGCATGAGACTATAAACTTGACATTTTGGTTTGAGCTGGTATCTGTATTCCACTCATTTTGGAACTTATTAATATTGTCTGAAAAACATCTGATTCAATTTTTTTCATCAGCCAAACATTTGAAAAGCAGCTCAAGGAAGAAAAAGACTCCTATGAGCGCAGAATACGAGAGCTCCAGAGCCGTCTAGACGATTCCCGGAGAGACAACGAGGTTGAGATCACGTCTATTAAGACCGACCTGAGGTTGGCACGAGAAGATGCTTGTCGACTACAGCAGGACTTGGAGGATGCTGAGGAAAAGCTTAAGGATGGTAAATTATATTTAAAATTCACCTGTTGTGGATTTAGGTAATTGAGAGAGAGAGAGACTTTAAACAAAATAAGAAAACCTTAAGCACAAAACAAATTTGTTAATTATATACTATATTTTGATGTTTCAGAGCATTTGAAACATTCTTGTATATTTAAATTTTTAGTAGCAATCCTTTAGTTTTTTATATTTCACACACAGTGGGGCTTAATCAGTTACTTGATAAATTCCCTCTACAGGGAAAACATTGTAATATAAAAGATCTTCCTGTTTAAAGTATCTTAAATGCTACTTGTTGGATTAGGCCATTGCCTTCCTACTATTAGTACTTTTAACCCTTAAACTGTCCAAACAGATCTATGTTCATATGCATAGTGCTCCAAAAGTAGATCTGTTTTTTTTACATATAACAAAAAAAAAAATGTAGATCAAAGTTTTTTTTACATGTTTTCAAATGTAAAAAAAAAAGCTCTACATTTTTTTACATACTTTCAAATGTTGAAAAAACGTAGATCTACATTTGGACAGTTTAAGGGTTAATTGGAATATAGTATATGCTGTACTATCTAATGATTTATAACTGTTGGCAGATTATGAGATTAAATTTTGCATGTGGAATACTGTAGATCCACAGTTATTTCACTTGTTCATGTGATACTATAATTTATACAGTGTAACAAATTAATATATTTTATTCAGCTGAAGAGAAGCGAAATGTATTAAAGAAGGAAATAAGTCGCGTCAATGATGAGATGAGAGCTGCAGAAGAAAGACGATCTACAGAATTACAAATCTTTTTGAAAAAAGCAGAACAGGAGAAAAAAGATATACAAAAACGACTTGATGATAAAGAAAGCAAGCTTAGCTGTAAGTTTATTTTTTCCCTGTTGAGTTATTACAGTTCGTTTGCTTTCTCTTTAGCATGAGATTATTCTTTTTCTTATTTCCTTTCATCTCCATGGCTAAGTGGAAAAGTATCTTGCCTCCATAAGCCATGCATTTCGTAAAAGGCAACTAAAATGCCGGGAGCAATAGGCTAGTAAACCCATCTCCTGTGTAAATTGCCAAATGTAAGAAGAAAAAACTGTAAAGGTTTCTTCTTTTATGGGTCACCTTGCCCAGGTGGGAGACAGCCACTGTGTTGAAAAAAAAATCTGCGAAGTCCTCCATAAGCAAGTGGAGAGCATAGCATATACTGTGAAGCACAGTACTGTTAGTTCAAGACTAACTAGCTTTGTGCTGTCAGAGCACAATGCATAATCATTAACCCTTTCTGTTAATACTAACTCCCTTTTTAATAGCTTTCCCATCAATGTCTTTTAGCTCTAGTACTGCTCAGAATGTTGTGAGGGTGAGAAAAATGCTTGAAACTGACCACAGGCATATATTAAAGTGTAAAATTTTCTGCATTATCTACAGTACCTTTAATTCTAATGCAAGTGGATTAGTACTATACAGTATTCTTTTAATTATAAAGCTCTTCAAAACAACCATACCCGAAGTGAATCAAATGAATCATACTGCAAACAAATTTTTTTATTGTTTATCTTGTACTTATGCATGTGTGGTTATTCCTTTTCATATTCCATAAGCTCTTGATTTAACCCTTAAACTGTCCAAATGTAGATCTATGTTCACCTGTGTGGCGATCCGAATATTTTTTTTTTTTTTTTTTTTTTTTTTTTTTTTTTATGATATTTATGTTCTGATAATTACAAATTATAATATAGTTCTTGTGATTTCATAGCCAATCTTTGTTCTGACACTAATATTGTGTACTGAAATAGTACTCAAATTGTAACAATCACACTGACAGGTGAACATTTTCACCTGCCCTGGTCATTTACTATTGTCTAGAAATATATACAAAGTATTTATAGGTCCCCACAATGTTTTAGACTTGCTGGAGTATGAACCTCCTTGAAGCATGGTGTTATGACAAGGGTCAGATAAGTGACATTTGATGAATGTGCTCTGCTGGAGGGAACTTTGCCTTTATAAGTTTTTACTCTTGCACACAAACATGTCTTTGTATGTCTGTCTGTCAGTCTATCTATCTGCCTGACTATCTGTCTGCCTGTTTATCTGTGCATCTATCTGTCTGTTTGCACATCTATCTGTCTGTATCTGTACATCTGTCTGTCTGTCTGCCTAGTTCTGCTTATCTGTCTGTCCAGTTCAGCTTATCTGTCTTTCTGTCTTCTGTGTGTGCCTGGAGTGTAATATAAACTCCTTGAATAATGGTGTTATGACAGCCTTAGATAACAGTGACATTTGATGAATGTGTGCTGCTGAAGGGGGGAGCCTTGCCTTTATATGTTTTTACTCTTGCACACAAACATGTGTCTATCTGTCTGTACATCTGTCTGTCTGTCTGCCTAGTTCTGCTTATCTGTCTTTGTCTGCCTGTGTGTCTTTCCATCTGCTTGTCTCTGTCTCAGGGAGCGGCTAGTAAACCTGTTGGTTTGTAGTGTAAGTGCCGCTCCCTAATTGCTGAGCAAGTGATACTGCTATTATTTGTATCATGTTTATTTATGTCTTATATCTACAATATATAGCACTTGGCTGGGAATTTTTGGGTTATCCTAGGTAATTTACATTATGTATAATAACTGTATATATGAGTACATGTGAGAGACAGAGATACAAATAGGCAGTGATATAGACAGAGATATAGACAGATATATACAGATATATACAGATAGACAGAGACAGCCAAAGCCAGCCAGCTAGCCAGCCAAATACATAAGAACATAAGAAAGAAGGAATACTGCAGCAGGCCTACTGGCCCATGCAAAGCAGGTCCACCCCCCCCCTGGCTTAGACCAATGACCCACCTGGTCAGGTCACATCCACTGAAAGGAGGAGCAAGACATCTGACCTAGTAGCACAAGCTAGTCAGGTCCAACTCGCACCCACTCACACGCTCTCATGCATTTATCTAACCTATTTTTACTCTCCTCTTAAAATGTGAGTGTTAATATGACATGACATCGGTGAATCCCTGGTGCTTGCCATGATATTTGCTCTAGCTGGCGCTCAGTTGAACTGGTGCTCCCACAAGGTACTAAGTGCTCCCAGAATTTTTTCATAGTGTGCACACTGAATGCACAGACCCATTCTTTCATGTCTAGGCGACTCAGGCCTATCACACAAAATTTGAAGGAATGAAAAATAAAACGTTGATCTACGTTCGGAGCCCACCGCATGTCAACTTATATATACGTGTGGACAGTTTAAGGGTTAACAGAACTCAGAAATACAGGACAGTCTGCTGGGTCAGTTGATTTGGAAACATTGGATGAAGTCCATTGATTACAAAATTGTCCATCATTATTACGATTACAGCAAAACAGTCTCATTTCTGTTCACCACAGTTACCATTACCAGCCACCCACTTCCCCCATTAGTGTGTTAAAGTGAGGATTTAATGTACAGTACCTAAATATAGCTTACACTAAACAATTATAATATGTATATGAACCCTGGTTAGTGCACACAGCTGAGCATTTTTCTGATGTAATAAATCAAATTCTTTCTCATTGTATCTTATCACATTACCAAGGTTGATATTTTCCTCACAGTAAGTGAAGTGCTTATGTCTATCCCATTTAATTTTGAAGGTCCTGAAATATCCCTAGATATTTACTTGATACTGTACATAATAGATTGAAAGTTTATTTAATGATTTGTAAATCATAAAACAGAATTTTCTCCATGGGGAACTGGAAAACAATTCTTCCTTCATAAGCCATGCATATCATAAGAAGTGACCAAAATGCTTGGAGCAAGAGGCTAGTAACCCCTTCTCCTGTATGAATTACTAAATTTAAAAAGAAAATCTTTTGTTTTTCTTTTTAGGTCACCCTTTCCCTGTTGGATATGACTGGTATGTTGAAAAAAAAAAAAAAATTCAGTATTTTTTGCTAGTGTACTCAAATTATTATTGGGAACTTGTGTAATTATTTTCAGCTTTGGAAGTCTCAAGGCCAAGCACGCAGACCTTATTGCTCGCATGACAACACAACTCCGAGAGTTAAACACTGTGAAACAGGATGCTCACCGGGAGATGTCAGACCTGAAGAAGAAACTTCAGGTTTGTTAACTTAAAGCAATATATACTAGTGTGTATACATAAAAGAACACTGCTATTTTTTTTTTTTATTTTTTTATTATCACACCGGCCGATTCCCACCAAGGCAGGGTGGCCCGAAAAAGAAAAACTTTCACCATCATTCACTCCATCACTGTCTTGCCAGAAGGGTGCTTTACACTACAGTTTTTAAACTGCAACATTAACACCCCTCCTTCAGAGTGCAGGCACTGTACTTCCCATCTCCAGGACTCAAGTCCGGCCTGCCGGTTTCCCTGAATCCCTTCATAAATGTTACTTTGCTCACACTCCACAGCACGTCAAGTATTAAAAACCATTTGTCTCCATTCACTCCTATCAAACACGCTCACGCATGCCTGCTGGAAGTCCAAGCCCCTCGCACACAAAAACCTCCTTTACCCCCTCCCTCCAACCCTTCCTAGGCCGACCCCCTACCCCGCCTTCCTTCCACTACAGACTGATACACTCTTGAAGTCATTCTGTTTCGCTCCATTCTCTCTACATGTCCGAACCACCTCAACAACCCTTCCTCAGCCCTCTGGACAACAGTTTTGGTATCCCGCACCTCCTCCTAACTTCCAAACTACGAATTCTCTGCATTATATTCACACCACACATTGCCCTCAGACATGACATCTCCACTGCCTCCAGCCTTCTCCTCGCTGCAAACATTCATCACCCACGCTTCACACCCATATAAGAGCGTTGGTAAAACTATACTCTCATACATTCCCCTCTTTGCCTCCAAGGACAAAGTTCTTTGTCTCCACAGACTCCTAAGTGCACCACTCACTCTTTTTCCCTCATCAATTCTATGATTCACCTCATCTTTCATAGACCCATCCGCTGACACGTCCACTCCCAAATATCTGAATACGTTCACCTCCTCCATACTCTCTCCCTCCAATCTGATATTCAATCTTTCATCACCTAATCTTTTTGTTATCCTCATAACCTTACTCTTTCCTGTATTCACCTTTAATTTTCTTCTTTTGCACACCCTACCAAATTCATCCACCAATCTCTGCAACTTCTCTTCAGAATCTCCCAAGAGCACAGTGTCATCGGCAAAGAGCAGCTGTGACAACTCCCACTTTGTGTGTGATTCTTTATCTTTTAACTCCACGCCTCTTGCCAAGACCCTCGCATTTACTTCTCTTACAACCCCATCTATAAATATATTAAACAACCACGGTGACATCACACATCCTTGTCTAAGGCCTACTTTTACTGGGAAAAAATTTCCCTCTTTCCTACATACTCTAACTTGAGCCTCACTATCCTCGTAAAAACTCTTCACTGCTTTCAGTAACCTACCTCCTACACCATACACTTGCAACATCTGCCACATTGCCCCCCTATCCACCCTGTCATACGCCTTTTCCAAATCCATAAATGCCACAAAGACCTCTTTAGCCTTATCTAAATACTGTTCACTTATATGTTTCACTGTAAACACCTGGTCCACACTGCTATATAAACATAAATTAGGTTGATAAATGAGACACTTGTGCAACATTTGAGTATCTTTATTTTACAGAAAAGTTTTGCCAGCCATTGGCTTCTTCAGTCCCATGCAGAGAAACATGGAAGATGAGAAGTTTGAGGTAATCAGTCCCTCAAACTCCTCCTTTCTCTGCAATGGACTGAAGAAGCCAATGGCTGGTAAAACTTTTGCAGAATAAAAATACCCAGATGTTGCACAAGTGTCTCATTTACGACCTTGTCAGTTTCTAAACCATTTATTCACATAAATTAGGTTGCACCAAGCAGAAGTGAAAATTAGCAAGATACAGTGTAACTGTAAACTGGAGATGAATTTATAATCTAGTTTCTTGCAGAATTTATATTAGTGCCCTTCAAGGAGAGGGGACAATTCTAGTGAAAGGCTCTTGATGCAAGGAATTGAAGTTCCTGTTTTCTTCCTTGAATAACACCTGACTACCTCTCATTCCCTAGGTGCAGTATGACTAACATATTTAGCACCTCACCAGGATTGTATAAATAATACATAGAGAACATTAATAAAAAAAATTATCTTCTCTTAGAAATTACATAGAAAGTGGAACAGTACAGTGCATTGATGCCATTCTTTGGTTTGAATATCAGTTTGCCCACTGGTGAATGGCTCTCATTTTGTCTAAGGCAGCACAGTGGTTGAGATGTCCAATGCCTTGGTCTATTTAAGTTTTGATCAAAACCACCAAAGTGCAAACATATTACATACTCTTTCCATCCCACTTTTCTCCCAATAATTTCTTATCTTACCCAAAGGAAGCAAGGAGCTAGTAACACCTTCTCCTGTATAAATTACTAAATGTGAAAAGAAGAAAAAATTTTGTTTCTTTTTTTTTCTGGGAGACAGACGGTGCATTGAAAAAAAAAAAAATCTTTCCCCCAACTATTTCCTCTTCTAAATTATTCATTTCCATCTCCCTCTCACACATTGATGAAATTCTCCTTGTACCCCATCTAACTCTTACTCTAGCTACCAGTAACCAATTTTTTTTTTAGCACTTTAATGATCTGATATATATGTCACCTGTCTAAAAACATGCACATCCAAAAGGCTACCCATTAACCTTTTTTCTGCTAACACATTAACCCGTAAACAGTCCAAACGTATATATACATTTTTTCAACATTTGAAAGTATGTAAATAAGTAGACCTTCTTTTTGTTTTTTTACATTTGAAAATGTGTAAAAAACTTTGATCTACTTTTTTTTTTGTTATACAGCGGACCCCCGGTTAACGATATTTTTTCACTCCAGAAGTATGTTCAGGTGCCAGTACTGGTCGAATTTGTTCCCATAAGAAATATTGTGAAGTAGATTAGTCCATTTCAGACCCCCAAACATACACATACAAACGCACTTACATAAATATACTTACATAATTGGTCGCATTCGGAGGTAATCATTATGCGGGGGTCCACTGTATTTGAAAATATGTAAAAAAAAATGTAGATCTACTTTTGGAGCACTACACATGTGAACATAGATCTGCTTGGACCATTTACGGGTTAACAAACTGCTGTCATTATGCCCTATATCATATATTGTGTACTTATTTGTCCTCTTTTTAACTTTCAATATGGGTATGCTTAGTCATCATGCTGTAACAAAGCACATTTTGCAAATTATAGGAAAACAGAAAGTATATATGTACTAAGCCCACCCCCAGTTATTTTTGCAATAGGGCATACAGACTAACATCAAGGTTTATTATACGTTTTCAAGGTTTCATATACTGTATCTATTTTTCATCTTCATTAATACAGTGGACCCCCGCTTAACGATCACCTCCAAATGCGACCAATTATGTAAGTGTATTTATGTAAGTGCGTTTGTACGTGTATGTTTGGGGGTCTGAAATGGACTAATCTACTTCACAATATTCCTTATGGGAAAAAATTCGGTCAGTACTGGCACCTGAACATACTACTGGAATGAAAAAAGTTCGTTAACCGGGGGTCCACTGTACTGGCATTCTCGGTTGTTACAGAAAGCTCCTGGCCTTGGCATGTTCTGAATAATGTTGATTGATTGTACTGTACAGTGTATAGAATTTTGGTGCCAGCAATTTTGTTTATTCTGAAGAAAATAAGCTGCAGATCATGTTATACATTTTAGGCAAAAACTTATCTCAAGTCCCAATATGACTCAGTTTTTAGCAAGCCGTTAACCAGACTGAGAGTCGAAGATCAAAATGAATTTTTTATGGGAGAGCCACAGAATTTGGTTAACACAAGCCTATCCGATGTTATTCTGACACCAAATGACTTCGAACAGGCAATAAATGACATGCCCGTGCACTCTGCCCCAGGGCCAGACTCGTGGAACTCCGTGTTCATCAAGAACTGCAAGAAGCCCCTATCACGAGCCTTTACCATCCTATGGAGAGGGAGCATGGACATGGGGGTCGTCCCACAGTTACTAAAAACAAGACATAGCCCCACACCACAAAGGGGGCAGTAAAGCAACAGCAAAGAACTACTAACATCCCATATCATAAAAATCTTTGAAAGGGACCTAAGAAGCAAGATCACCACCCATCTAGAAACCCATCAGTTACACAACCCAGGACATGGGTTTAGAACAGGTCGCTCCTGTCTGTCTCAACTATTGGATCACTACGACAAGGTTCTAGATGCACTAGAAGACAAAAAGAATGCAGATGTAATATATACAGACTTTCCAAAAGCCTTCGACAGGTGTGACCATGGCGTAATAGCGCACAAAATGCGTGCTAAAGGAATAACAGGAAAAGTCGGTTGATGGATCTATAATTTCCTCACTAACAGAACACAGAGAGTAGTAGTCAACAGAGTAAAGTCCGAGGCAGCTATGGTGAAAAGCTCTGCTCCACAAGGCACAGTACTCGCTCCCATCTTGTTCCTCATCCTCATATCTGACATAGACAAGGATGTCAGCCACAGCACCGTGTCTTCCTTTGCAGATGACACCCGAATCTGCATGACAGTGTCTTCCATTGCAGACACTGCAAGGCTCCAGGCGGACATCAACCAAATCTTTCAGTGGGCTGCAGAAAACAGTATGAAGTTCAACGATGGGAAATTTCAATTACTCAGATATGGTAAACACGAGGAAATTAAATCTTCATCAGAATACAAAACAAATTCTGGCCACAAAATAGAGCGAAACACCAACGTCAAAGACCTGGGAGTGATCATGTCGGAGGATCTCGCCTTCAAGGACCATAACATTGTATCAATCGCATCTGCTAGAAAAATGACAGGATGGATAATGAGAACCTTCAAAACTAGGGAGGCCAAACCCATGATGACACTCTTCAGGTCACTTGTTTTATCTAGGCTGGAATATTGCTGCACACTAACAGCACCTTTCAAGGCAGGTGAAATTGCTGACCTAGAAAATGTACAGAGAACCTTCACGGCGCGCATAATGGAGATAAAACACCTCAATTACTGGGAGCACTTGAGGTACCTAAACCTGTATTCCCTGGAATGCAGGCAGGAGAGATACATGATTATATACACCTGGAAAATCCTAGAGGGACTAGTACCGAACTTGCACACGAAAATCACTCGCTACGAAAGCAAAAGACTTGGCAGATGATGCAACATCCCCCAATGAAAAGCAGGGGTGTCACTAGCACGTTAAGAGACCATACAATAAGTGTCAGGGGCCCGAGACTGTTCAACTGCCTCCCAGCATACATAAGGAGGATTACCAACAGACCCCTGGCAGTCTTCAAGCTGGCACTGGACAAGCACCTAAAGTCGGTACCTGACCAGCCGGGCTGTGGCTCGTACGTTGGTTTGCGTGCAGCCAGCAGTAACAGCCTGGTTGATCAGGCTCCGATCCACCAGGAGGCCTGGTCACAGACCGGGCCGCGGGGGCGTTGACCCCCGGAACTCTCTCCAGGTAAACTCCAGGTAATACACGTACTTAACTTTTTTTCTTTTTTTTTAACAAGTCGGCTGTCTCCCACCGAGGCAGGGTGACCCAAAAAGAAAGAAAATCTCCAAAAAGAAAATACTTTCATCATCCTTCAACATTTTCACCTCACTCATACATAATCACTGTCTTTGCAGAGGCACTCAGATACAACAGTTTAGAAGTCCCTCCAAACTGTCAATATTCCAGACCCCTCCTTTAAAGTGCAGGCATTGTACTTCCCATTTCTAGGACTCAAGTCTGGCTAAATCTATAATAACTGGTTTCCCTGAATCCCATCACTAAATATTACCCTGCTCACACCAACAGCTCATCAAGTCCCTAAAACCATTCGTCTCCATTTACTCCTATCTAACACCCTCACACACACATGCTGGAAGTCCAAACCCCTCGCCCACAAAACCTCCTTTACCCCCCCTCCAACCTTTTCAAGGACAACCCCTACCCCTCCTTCCTTCCTTCCCCTACAGATTTATACGCTCTCCAGGTCATTCTACTTTAATCCATTCTCTCTAAATGACCAAACCACCTCAACAACCCCTCTTCAGCCCTCTGACTAATACTTTTAGTAACTCCACACCTCTTAATTTCCATACTCCGAATTCTCAGCATAATATTTATACCACACATTGCCCTTAGACACGACATCTCCACTACCTCCAGCCACCTCCTTGCTGCAGCATTTACAACCCAAGCTTCACATCCATATAAGAGTGTTGGTACCACTATACTTTCATACATTCCCTTCTTTGCCTCCATAGATAACGTTTTTTGTCTCCACATATACCTCAATGCACCACTCGCCATTTTTCTTAACTACCACTGTAATGTTTTATATGAAGTCCTAAACATATACTTTGTAGTCACAGTTCATTAAAGTGTACTTCCTGATTTATACCTTACTGGTGTATTTTCAAATGATGGAATTGATCAAGATATGATAAAAATGCCATTATATGTAAGAGCAATTTTTATAGGATTTTTGAAGGCTTATAAAATACTATTAATTCTGCTTTATGTATTTCAAAAATTTTATTTTTGATAAGGGACATTCCCTATCATTTTTTTTTATATTTCATCATAATCTTATAATTATTTAAATTGTTTCTTTAAAGCTGTTAGAGACAGAATTGCTTGGCAAATCTCAAGAACTAGAAAATCTCCGGCTGCGGCTGTCATCAGAAGAAGACCGCCATAATGAAAGCAGAAAAGAGGCTTCCAAACTTAAAACCAAGGCAAGCAGCTTCTTTTGTAGGTCACTATAATAGGAAAGCTGTTAATATTTTTAAGGTTTTTATGTAATTTGGATTTCTTTAGCCACCTTGACTTTGTGAGGAAACACTTAAGCATAACAGTATAGTACTGTAATAGTAATAATATTGATAACCATAATAATATCAACAATAATATTTTTTAGTACACTGGCCATCTCCGATCAAGGCAGGATGACACGGAAAAAAAGGATACATTCATCCTCGTTCAATAGTTCTTGCCAGAAGTGTGCAGATATCACAGTTAAGATGACACTGCAAACTGAAACATCACCACCCCTCCAGAGTACAGGCACTAAACTTCCCACCTCCAGAACTCAAATCTGGCAAACTTGTTTCTCTGAATCCTTTCATAAATGTTAGCCTGCTCACACTCCAACATAATGTCAAGCTATAAAATTCATACAAGCCTTCTAGATGGTCAAGCCCCTAGCACTCAAAGCCTCCTCTTTCCCTACTCCAACCTCTCCTGGGATGACCCCCCACCCCCACCCCTCCTGCCTTCCACCCCAACTTTATATACCCTTTTGGTCATTATTATATTAAATATAATTAAAAAGACCTGGGTTCAATCATGGGGGCAGGTAAAGATGTATTGAGCAAGTTTCTTGACACCAGTTATCCCAATTTCTCTCCCAGCAGTAAATAAGTACCTGGGTATTAGCTGACTGTTTTTGAGTGGAATCCTAGATGGTGGTACAGTATTGCTGTTATATTGACCTGCCATCGTGAAATCAACCATTTTTTTCAGGAATAAATCCTGCCAAAGATGCAAAGTTGGGTGCACTTTATATTTCTATATACAGAATTTTGTGTTTGAGGGGCTTGGACTTCCAGCAAGCATGTGAGATAGGAGCAAATGGAGACAAATGGTTTTTAGGACTTAATGTGCTGTTGGAGTGTAAGCAAGGTAATACAGTAGGGCCCCACTTATACGGCGGGTTAGGTTCCAGGCTACCGCCGTAAAGCGGAAATCGCCGTAAAGTGGAACACCCTTTTTTTCCACTTATAAATGCATACAAACACTAGATAACAAGTTTACACTAACATATATTAAGTTAGCAATAGAACCAGGCATCAAAAAACAATAAAAAGGTACAATACACACATAGTGCACTCATTACTTACCTTAAAATATTTATAGTCTTAATCTAGGGTGAGACAAGTAGTATTTATTGTAAGAAATCAAGTGTGGTATGTATTGTAATAGCCTCACCAGGCCACCCCACCCACACATACTATTCTATGATTTTTAAGCATCCCAGAGCGATAAAATGTATATACAGTTCACTCATTACTTACCTTAAAATATTTGTAGTCTTAATGTAGGTCAGGAGTAAGTAAATGAGATAAAACGAATAAATGAGAGAGAGAAAAGAATGAATACATGAGAGGGGCAGGCGCAGTTATGTAAACAAACCAGGGGAAGGTAAGTTTTGTAAACAAACGAAATGTACACGTCTGGTTTGTGTACAAGTTACATTGTGTACAGGTTGTCTCTACATTGATACGGTAGAATTAATAAAGAAGAACACTCCCATTCTCATGTAACATCATTTTGAGAAGAAATGAAGCTCTGAGTGAAGGCAATGGAAATAAGTCACACTGACTTTTTTGGGTTATCCTAGGTTCTCTACACGTATGTTGTTATGTATGATAATCTATGTAACTGTATTTGTGTATACCTGAATAAACTTACTTACATACATACGAAAGGAATAATTTTCTACAGTTACCCCCAGTAACACATTTACTCTTATGTTAGATTAGAGAAAATGTTATTCTTGGCGTCACTTGTACAAGTTATGTGGCTCCCACATCTTATATTTATGTTTATTTATTCTATTGTGGGGTGTATTTATCATCTTTTTATGTTATGTATCGTGTTTATTATATAATTTTGAAAAAAATATCATGGATGGATTAATGAAAATGTGTATATTACCGTAATATACGACATTAATGAGACTCGGTATTGTTATTATCACCACTTGTGCAAGTCGTCTGCTACGACATCTCACATTTGTTTATTTATTCTACTGTGGGGTGTATTTATCTTATTTATATGTTATGCATCGTGTTATTATATGATTTTGAAAAAAATATCATGGATGATTAATGAAAATGTGTATATTACCGTAATATACGACATTTAATGAGACTCAGTATTGTTATTATCACCACTTGTGCAAGTCGTCTGCTACGACATCTCACATTTGTTTATTTATTCTACTGTGGGGTGTATTTATCTTATTTATATGTTATGCATCGTGTTTATTATATGATTTTGAAAAAAATATCATGGATGGATTAATGAAAATGTGTATATTACCGTAATATACGACATTTAATGAGACTCGGTATTGTTATTATCACCACTTGTGCAAGTCGTCTGCTACGACATCTCACATTTGTTTATTTATTCTACTGTGGGGTGTATTTATCTTATTTATATGTTATGCATCGTGTTTATTATATAATTTTGAAAAAAAAATATCATGGATGGATTAATGAAAATGTGTATATTACCGTAATATACGACATTTAATGAGACTCAGTATTGTTATTATCACCACTTGTGCAAGTCGTCTGCTCACATCTCACATTTGTTTATTTATTCTACTGTGGGGTGTATTTATCTTATTTATATGTTATGCATCGTGTTTATTATATAATTTTGAAAAAAATATCATGGATGGATTAATGAAAATGTGTATATTAACGTAATATACGACATTTAAATGACTCGATGTATGTAAGTTTATTTAGGTACAGGTATACATAAGTATAATTATCAGAGTATATATAAAATATGAAATAACTTTTAAAAACATTTGAAATTTTGGAGTTTCCAGACAAAATGGAGAGACTTAGTGCTTACTGAGCTCATGGAGAATGTAAACAAACAGGGTGGGGCACGGTGACCGTATTAGAAAGTCAGGTGGGGGGAGCCGTATAGTGAGTTTTGGTCATAATTTGAAATGTCCGTATTAGCGGAACGCCGTAAAGCGGAACGCCGTAAAGCGGGGCCCTCCTGTACTTATGAAGGGAATCAGGGAAACTGGCAGGCCAGACTTCATTCCTGGAGATGGGATGTACAGTGCTGGCACTCTGAAGGAAGGATGTTAATGTTGCAGTTTTATAACTGTAATGTAAGCATGTCTCTGGCAAGACAGTGATGGAGTGAATGTTGATGAAAGTTTTTCTTTCTTGGGCCACCCTACCTTGGTGGGAAACAGCCAATGTGTTAATAAACAAATAATACAGTTTTAAAGTACAAAAAAAAATAATATATAAATAAAGCAATGTTAATAAAGTTAGTCAGAGTAACATTTTAGCTCTCTGTGTGCTCTAGTTTTTGAAAACTGGGAAAATTGGAAATCTGGAGGTTGATTGGTCTCAGTTATTCTGGATTTTATTAATTTTTTGTAACAAAAAATTCTTTAATCTAATTATTGTATAATGTTAGGTACTAGTTATTAAATATGTCAGTTATTTAAAAAAAAAAAGTGGCATAATGATCTAATTTTTAATAAACGAATGGCTACTAAAAAAAATTTATAATGTGAATATTTAAAGCATATGCTAAATGCAATGTGCATTTCTCAGGTAGCAGAATATGAACGAGAACGAGATAATCTTCAAACAGAATTGGCTCTTCTAGAGCGAAGACTCACTGAGCTTGAAGATCACCATGCAGCTAAGGAGCAGGAACTGGCCAGCAGGTAAATGTATAATCATTCTTTAATACATGTTATATTGTTGCATGGAGGTAGTAAGTTAGTAGACAGCAACCACCCAGGGAGGTACTACCGTCCTGCCAAGTGAGAGTAAAACAAAAGCCTGTAATTGTTTTACATGATGGTAGGATTGCTGGTGTCCATTTTTCTGCCTCATAAACGTGCAAGATTTCAGGTACGTCTTGCTACTACTACTTACACATAGGTCACACTACACATACATGTACAAGCATATATATATATATATATATATACACACACCCCTCTGGGTTTTCTTCTATTTTCTTACTTGTTCTTGTTTATTTCCTGTTATCTCCATGGGGAAGTGGAACAGAATTCTTCCACCGTAAGCCATGCGTGTTGTAAGAGGCAACTAAAATGCCGGGAGCAAGGAGCTAGTAACCCCTTCTCCTGTATATATTACTAAATTTAAAAAGAGGAGCCTTCGTTTTTCTTTTTGGGCCACCCTGCCTCGGTGGGATACAGCCGGTTTGTTGAAAAAAAACAAAAAAAACATGCAAGTATCAGGTACATCTTGCCATTTCTACTTACATTTAGGTCACACTGCACATGTATGTACAAGCATATATATACACACCCCTCTGGGTTTTCTTCTAATTTATTACTAGTTATTGTTCTTGTTTATTTCCACTGATCTCCATGGGAAAGTGGAACAGAATTCTTCCTCCGTAGGCCATACATGTCATAAGAGGCGACTAAAATGCCGGGAGCAAGAGGCTTGTAACCCCTTCTCCCATATGTACTACTAAATTTTAAAGGAGAAACTTTCATGTTTCCTCTTGGGCCATCCTTTGTAAATGGGGTACAGCCGGTGCGTTGAAATAAGAAGAATGTTGTTGCAGGATATCAGTCGCAGAATTTTTGCAGGTGCAATACAAGCATCACTCATTTGATGACAGATGCATTGCACAAAATCCGTGTAAGCAAGATCACATAAAGTGAAATTTATTTTGTTGTAGATTCCTATTTTATAATTAAAGATGCATTCAAAGAAATAAAAATCCTATGTACTTTTCCAAATCATGCCTAGTTTGTATGGGAAACATCACACTTGTATCAGCTTCATGTGTACATTGAATGAATAGAAAAGTGAAGCTTCCTTATTTGATAAATCTTTGAGTTCAAACTTCAGTCTTTCAGCAGAAGGTATCAGGCACAAAAAATTTTGCCTTTTGTATGAAACCACCACTGTTGTAACTCCACTCTGTTCACACTCAAACTGCATGTCAAATCATTAAAACTGCTGGTCTCCACTCTGATAATATGTTCTCACACAAGCCTGTTGGATGTTCAAACCCCTTGCACTCAGCACTCAAAACCTCCTTTAAAGCTTTCCTCTCCCTCCAACTTTTCCTGGAAGACCCCTATTTTCCCTTCCTACCTCTCCAGAGTTATGTACCCCTCAACAATCCCTCCTTAGCTAGCCTTCTGAATTAAACTTTTGGAAACCCCTACTTATCTTCTAATCTCCGCACTCCTGATTCTTCAGGAGTGTTGAGGTTAGATCCAATTCCCTGGATCAAGAGCTCTTCTTTGGCATCAAGGTACATCACATTAGGGGAGGTAAACAGGTCTAGATATCAAATAGGCCACATTCCAAAGCTTCCAAATGTTTAGAGACCAAATTTCCAGTGCCCTGTGATCCTGGTAAAGAAATAAACCCTCTTAGGCAACATCAGTTAATTTGAACCTTTAAACATGCTACTGTGTACTGATATTATCACAGTAAGCCTCACCTTTCTGGCAGTGACCAGTTATAGGTGGGAGGATTGCAACGGGGAAAGGTGGAAGCTGGTTCTACTAAATAAAATTCACCTTCATCTAAACTAAGCCTAGTGAAGGATGGGCTTAATCCACTAAGATTCCCATAATCTTACTGATCTAAAATTCTCCTGGCTAAGGAGTACTACAGCTGCTGATAATTTAATAAATACACAATACTTAGAAGCCACTGAATGATCAGTCATAAACCTTCACTCCCTTGGATTGAACCTGATTGCCTTCTATTTCCCCAGGTCTTGTATGAACCCTATGGGTTTCTCTCTCCACCCTATGAGTTTCTCTCATCCCCCTATGAGTGTAATAATAGTAAAAATAATCATAAGCATAATGTCTCTAGCTATCTTACAGACTCGTAAGATACATTAAGGCCAGTTACTGGAACATAGACTATGGACTGGCCACTGTCATGACTAAAATCTTATATAAACAAGAGGAATAAAATTGGCACTTATCTTCTACCAGAGTGTTGATGAATGACATCTTCCATTTGGTTGTTCTTGGTGTACAGCTGTAGAAAAATATATCCACTATAAAGGCAAAAGGAAATATACAGAGCTCAAAGTAGCAATGTAGTGATGTCCTTTAGTGGTATAGAAGAGAGGCAATTCTAAAAAGCGTTGTTCTTAGAGTGGTACAGTATTGCTGTTATATTGACCTGCCATTGTGAAATCCTTCATTTTTTTCAGGAATAAATCCTGCCAAAGATGCAGAGTTGGGTGCACTTTATATTTTTATATACAGAATTTTGTGTATCATAACCCAGATGCAAAGATAATTGTCCCAAATGCAAAGATAATCATCCCAAATGCAGAGATAATTGTAAACTTTGAGTTATGAAGCGAATTCATTCTTTTTGAGTGTTACCATTTATGAGAATAGGAAAGTATGTATGATCCTCCTTTGGTTAAATATTCTTGGAAGAGGTTTCTCTAATTCACACACACAAAAGCAGACTATAATATTTTGTGCTCTACATGAATTTTTATTTAATATCATTGGTGTTTTTACAGCAGAATTTATTCATGTTTGACCTTTTTTTTTTTTCAGTCTTGAGGAATCTCGTGCAAATGAACGCAAGTTGAATGATGAGAAGAAGAACCTCGAGAATTACCTCAATAATGCCAACCAACAAATCAGCAACCTGAAGGTATAGTTTGATCATTACATTCTTAAAATTTTGAATATTTGATATTTTCAGGCTTGCATTTAAAAAAAAGATTTTGTCTGGTCTTCCAGATCTCGCTTATGAAAACATTCACACAAATTTGTCTCTGTGAATTATAAGTACTGTGCTTTCATCATTACTAGATGTAATATCCTGTAAAAATTACCTTTACTCTTGATGCTGTTGTAAGGAAATGAATATCATATTTTCATGTTCATTCCAAAATGAACAGTTTTAGTGTGGTAATTGATTACTTGTAGTTACATGAACATAGCTGTGCTTGTAGCTTGTTCCTATACTCTCATAAAATTTAAAAAATTAAGTTAATCCTCGAGTATCTTTTCAGTGTCTAAGTAATTTCCTACATCTTTTGCAGTAATGGATTTTAAACTTGTACATTTTGTAGGTGAAATTATCCCGTGAAGAGGGCCATGTGGAAGCCCTTGAACAGCAGCTGGGCAACCTGGAAACCACCCGAGAACACCTGGAGAGAAAGTTGCAGAATGTGTATACTTCCCTACGCACGGTGACTCGCATGTACCAGGATGTGCCACCATCGTCACCTGTGCTACGGAGCAGGAAGGGCACCAAGATTGGTTGGTATATTAAGCTTACGCATTAGTCAGTGACAGACATGCCAGCTGGTGGTCCAAGTTCTGGCAGTGTAAAGTGTACTTTAAATTTTTTGTCACTGAATTAGTGTGCTTGGTGAGAACCGTAAATACTGGTAGCTTATAAAATACACTATAAAGTGTAATAACACAAACTTTGTACTAAATACATAATTGCTTATGCAAGTAAACTACAATTGAGTATAATAGAGTACTCTAATCTTATAACTTTCAAGCTTTGTCTTAACCATGTTTGTGTATTAAGAAATTTAAGAAGCATCTTCATAAGTGTCACTACATTATGCAATAATGTACACATTTTTAACTCATAAAGAAAGATGATTAAGTTTAGAAGTTTTCACTCATTTTAATTGTTTTCTGAATCAAAACAATAATAAAATAAAATATTCTTTTAAGTATTGTTTTGATTCAGAAAACAATTAAAATGAGTGAAAACTTCTAAACTTAATCATCTTTCTTTATGAGTTAAAAATGTGTACATTATTGCATAATGTAGTGACACTTATGAAGATGCTTCTTAAATTTCTTAATACACAAACATGGTTATAGAGTGAAATAAAAATAAGCATTCATGCATGAGTATTTTAACTCCATAAATAAACTTCCTCTTAATTGTAATGGCCAATAATTTGGGTGAACTAAGTAATATGGAATCAACTTTATCTGCAATGTTTTGCTTGTAAAGGCAGTATTAGTGTTGTTAGAGATATAGAGGGCTAGGTGCTAATGATCCAGGTGAGGTGAAGTCAGATTCAGATGGTACATTCTAGACACACCACAAACATGGATTAGATGTACAGGTCTTACGTTGTGACAACTAAAATGAGTTTCCCAGTGGTGATGCAGTGTTGAAGTGTCTTGGATTCTCTTTGATGGTGTCAAGGTATTTAATGGTTGTCACATATATATTTCTTACTAATGTTGATGATTTCTTTGTTTATGAAAATTTTAGCACTTGAACTCCTCAGGTGTTACCTGCAGTCTGTGCTGCACATGTTGCTTATGTCAGTGGTACAGCATACATGGTTAATATTGAAATTATTTGTAACCAAGTTTCTTGATGCTTCTTCTACATAAGCCTACTTGTTAGAATACACACTTGTGTTGCATACTGAAGGTTTTTGTACATACATGCATATGGTGAAGAATGACTTGGAGTGTTCGCATCGCTATTGGGTCAGTGTTCGCATCGCTATTGGGCCGTGCGGACGTGCTGCGCAGTAGCTCCTGATTGAGTTGGCTTTTGCGCAGTGTTGACGTGTACTTGACTCTGTGAAGACCTGTTTGCGCGCTCTCTAGAATTGAAGCAAGATGCCCTCCATCGAGCAACTTTACCAACAGCTTAAGGAAGAATTGAGGTTGGCGAATATGGAAATTCGGCGACTGACCGAGGAAAACAAAAAGATTCGGAGTAGTCCTCCTGTTTTGAGTCCTCAGGTCAAGAAGGGTAACTGGTCAGTGGCTGGACAGCAGGGAAAGAAGTTGACGATCAAGAAGACGAATGGAAAGGTAGAAACGATGAAGAAGAAAGAGACTGCCGTGGAAACTGTTGTGGAAACATCCAATACATTCTCAGTGCTACCCGACGAATGTGAGTCGAATACTGGGAACGTCACGACGAAAGACATTAAGGAAGGTACGAATATTGTTGTTGTTGGGGATAGCCAAGTTAGGTATATGGATAGGGCGTTCTGCTTGAAGGACAGGAGTAGGGGCTGGGATGGAGGATATTGTTAGCCGTCTGGATGACATCATGAGAGGTAATGGGAGCAATCCTATTATCTGTCTCAGTGCTGGAGGCAACGATGTTGGCAGACGTAGGAGTGAGGACCTGATTAGCAGGTATAGGTCAGCAATAGAAATAATTAGAAGTAAGGGTGGGAACCCTCTCATATGTGGTATTTTGCCAAGGAGGGGAGTTGGAAATGAATGGTTGTCCAGGGCAATTGGTGTCAATTGCTGGCTGGACAAATACTGTAAGGAAAATGCGGTAACATTCATTGACAACTGGGACCTCTTCTATGGCAGAAATGACATGTATGCTAGGGATGGGGTTCACTTATCTAGGTGTGGGGTGGGAGCACTGGCAACTGCAGTGGAGGGAGCAGTTAGGACTTTAAACTAGGAATAGTTAGTGGTATGGGTTTTGGCAGGAAAACAGTGAAGTCCCAGTGTAGTAATATTACGAGTTCTAGGGGAACTAGTAATAATAAGAACGAGATAGATATTGAAAAGCCAGGGACCTTGGGTGATAAGGACAGTAATAGGTTTAGTAGAAAAATAGAAATGAGCAGGAAGGGTAAAGAGAAAGGAGAGTCTTTCAATGTTTATTATGCTAATTGCCATAGTGCTAGGAATAAGATGGACGAGTTGAGATTAGTTGCTAGTGTAGGTAACATTGATGTATTTGCCTTAACTGAGACGTGGTTTAATTCAAAAAGTCGGGACATGCCTGCGGAATGTCATATTCAGGGTTTTAAATTGTTCCAAGAAGATAGAAGTATTGGGAGGGGGGGTGGGGTGGCATTGTATGTCCGAGATCGCTTGAACTGTTGCATAAAAACGGGTATTAAGTCTGAAGTAACACATACAGAGTCTGTTTGGATAGAATTTTCAGAGGGGCATGAAAAACTGATTTTAGGAGTGATATACCGTCCCCCAAACTTAGATAGGGACCAAGGGAAACTACTATGGGAGGAAATTGTTAAGGCCACAAGGCACGATAATGTAGTAATTCTAGGAGAGGGGCATGAAAAACTGATTTTAGGAGTGATATACCGTCCCCCAAACTTAGATAGGGACCAAGGGAAACTACTATGGGAGGAAATTGTTAAGGCCACAAGGCACGATAATGTAGTAATTCTAGGAGACTTTAACTTTAGTCATGTTGATTGGAATTTCTTGACTGGGAACTTAGAATCATACGACTTCTTAGAAGTATTTCAGGATTGTTTTTTGAAGCAGTTTGTGACAAAACCTACAAGAGGAAATAACCTGCTTGACTTAGTTATGGCAAACAATGAATCCCTTGTTAATAATTTAGAAATTTCAGAGGAACTGGGTGCTAGCGACCACAAATCAATTACATTTAGCATTGAATGGAAGTACGATAGCAGCGATAACTCAGTAACAGTCCCAGATTTTCGCTTAGCAGATTACGATGGGCTTAGAGAACACTTATCTGTTGACTGGGGTAACGAAGAGAGCTATCAATATGACAGTTTTCTGAACACTATACATGCTGCTCAAAGAGCGTTTTATCCCATATAAAGAAATTAGATCAAATAGAAATGACCCAAAATGGATGAACAATAGGCTCAAATATCTACTAGGGCATAAGAAAGGAATTTATAGGCATATCAAAAGAGGTGAGGGTCATCTTATGAATCAGTATATTGACATTAAGAGGGACATTAAAAAGGGGATAAGAAAAGCTAAAAGGGACTATGAAATTAAAGTTGCTAGGGATTCTAAAACTAACCCAAAAAGTTTTTTCCAGGTCTATAGAACAAAAGTTAGAGATAAGATAGGTCCCCTTAAAAATAACTATGGGCACCTTACTGACAAAGAGAATGAAATGTGCTTGATTTTAAATAATTATTTTCTCTCAGTTTTTACACAGGAAGACACTAACAATATCCAGTAATTAATTTTTACAGTGGGCTAGAAGAAGATAAATTATGTAACATCACAGTCACTAGTGAGATGGTTGTGAACCAGACAGACAGACTGAAGCAAAATAAGTCGCCGGGTCCTGATGAGGTTTTTTCAAGGGTTCTTAATGAATGCAAAATGGAACTCTGTGAACCATTAACTAATATTTTTAATTTATCTCTTCAAACAGGTGTAGTGTCTGATATGTGGAAGATGGCTAATGTAACTCCTATTTTTAAAACAGGGGACAAGTCGTTACCGTCAAATTACCGCCCAATAAGCCTGACCTCAATTGTAGGCAAATTACTAGAGTCAATTATAGCTGAGATTATAAGAAGCCATCTCGATAAGCATAGCTTGATTAATGATACTCAGCATGGATTCACAAGAGGCCGGTCTTGTCTAACTAATTTATTAACTTTCTTCAGTAAAGCTTTTGAGGCTGTTGACCACAATAAAGAATTTGATATTATTTACTTAGATTTTAGTAAGGCTTTTGATAGAGTTCTGCACCATAGACTGTTAAAGAAAGTGGCAGCTCATGGCATTGGGGGAAAAGTGCTCTCGTGGATCGAGTCATGGCTCACTGACAGGAGCAGAGAGTGTCCATAAATGGGGTTAAATCCGAGTGGAGATCTGTAACAAGTGGCGTTCCACAGGGATCAGTCTTGGGCCCGTTGTTGTTTATAATATATATCAGTGATCTTGATGAGGGAATTACTAGTGATATGAGCAAATTCGCCGATGACACAAAGATAGGTAGGATAATTGATTCAAACGAGATGTTATGGAACTTCAGGAGGATTTAAACAAACTCTATTCTTGGTCAGAAAAGTGGCAGATGCAGTTCAATGTAGATAAATGCAAGGTTCTGAAGCTTGGGAGTGCCCATAATCCTAGTACTTATAAGTTAAATGATGTAGAACTTAGCCATACAGATTGCGAAAAGGACTTGGGGGTTATGGTGAGCAGCAACCTTAAACCAAGACAGCAATGCCTAAGTGTACGTAATAAGGCAAATAGATTACTGGGATTTATATCAAGAAGTGTAAGCAACAGAAGTCCAGAGGTCATACTGCAGCTTTATACATCATTAGTAAGGCCTCACCTAGATTATGCAGCTCAGTTCTGGTCTCCGTATTACAAAATGGACATAAATTCGTTAGAAAACATTCAGCGTAGGATGACTAAATTAATACATAGCATTAGAAATCTTCCTTATGAAGAAAGATTGAAGACTCTTAAGTTACATTCACTTGTTAGACGAAGAATGAGGGGAGACCTGATCGAAGTGTATAAGTGGAAGATAGGTATTAATAAAGGGGATATTAATAAGGTCTTGAGGATGTCTCTCCAAGAGAGAACCCGCAGTAATGGATTTAAATTAGATAAGTTTAGATTTAGAAAGGACATAGGAAAGTATTGGTTTGGAAATAGGGTAGTTGA